AAATGAGATCATTGCTACTTTGACAAGTCAATTGAATATATACACTAAATTAAGTAGACATGTAAAATAATTCATCGCCAATATAACATGTAAGTGTTTGTCACATAAATATAAACTAAATCTTTACAAACTTGTAGATATGAATAAATACGCAATGCACAAATCGCGCATTTTCATTATAATCATTATCATAATTCCTTCACTTTTAGTTAGGGGTCTAATTTGATATCTCACGCCCAATCATTTTATATTAACATAAATTATATATTATATGATTATGGTTTTGCATATGTGTGGGATTCGCCTGAAACTGTTTGTGAAAAGACTTTTATATTATGTTTTAAACAACGGATTATCGATAATTTTGTTCAAGGGTGGCATGTAAATAAAGAAAACAGTCCTGTTTTAGAAGTATATAATCATGTCAAAAGTAATTTTGAGTACGAAAAATACTTGGATATTTTGCCTTGCAATTTAAGATGTTATTTAACAAAATTAAGGTTATCCTCACATTCTTTGAAAATTCAAACGGGTCGATACAGTACACAAAGAATCGATAGAAATCAACGTTATTGTATATACTGTAATAAGCACGACATTGAAGACGAATATCATTTTATTTTGATTTGCCCATGTTATATTGATTTAAGGAAAAAATATATAAAAAAGTATTATTATGTAAAACCAAGCATGTTTAAATTTGTAGAACTATTAAAAAATGATAAAAGAACAATTCTTAAAAATTTAGCTATTTATATTAAACGTGCTATGACTTTAAGAGCATCTGCTACACATATTTAAGTCCATCCTCTTAGAATAAAAAACGATGAAATTGTATGCTTAAAGTATCATGATTATATTATGTATTTGTAATTTTATTAAATGTAAATGTGTAAATGTAATGTATGTGTTATTGCGATTTGTGATTAAAAACACTGGTTTTTCATGTGACTGTATTATATTACATGTAAATGTATTAATTTTGTAAATATGTTACGATGATGTACTTATGGTACAAATCTAATAAAATAAATGTTCTGTTCTGTTCTGTTCTGTTCTATTATAACTGCTATGTAGCCATCTTACAATTCTATGTAACATTATAACATTAAACGAATAAAAAACAATGCTAAATTATTGTTTTACCTTATGTTTTCAATATTTAATCGGATACTTTTATGAAAATAATTTAAATATTTGCTGTTAACATTAAATTATTTCTCGAAGTATCTGTTACTGTATTCTAAAGTACAAAAATAGAGATAGGGGTCGAAATGTCTTACCCACTAGGGGTCGAAGAGTCATGTTAAAAGGGGTCTAAGTGTCAAGAAGTCATCTTAATATCGTAAGGGGTCGAGAAGTCAAGGGGTCTAGATGTTTTACTTGCACTTATTGTTTGGCAATATTGACCTGAGTTTGTATTAATTTTCGAAAGTTTTTGGTTAATTTTCCTATTTTGATACGATTGACTTTTTATTTGTAACGATAGAAAAGTTCTCGATACTTAATTAATTTCATACTAACGTCCTCGAAAATATATTTTTATTTCATGAATAACAACACACGTACATGTTTTTTTTTTATTAAAAAAGAACCAATAGGCCTAAAATTTCCGGATATTTGTAGTTCGATAAATAGGAATTAACAAGTGCACATTGACATAATGACAATATGGTGAATTACAAATGACTGATAGATATTTATATCATAAAAAATCGTAACGGTTTACAATTTATATTGCAATAACTGTTATATCTGATATGTATACATTTATACATAATATATTATACTTTCTGTTTAAATGTAGTGCGTGTCTTTCTATTCCTTATATAAAATACTTAACTTGTAAACAAATTAACATTTCATCTATATTTACGTCTTTATGCACATTATGTTTTCGAAGTGAACGTCTTCAAGTACATTAAAGAATAAGGGGTCGAAAAGTCCAGTCAATTTAAGGGGTCTAAGTGTCTTAGGGGTCTAAGTTTCATGGATCGAGATGTCTAAGGGGTCGAAGTGTCAAGGGGTCAAGATGTCATAGACTCATTATAAATAAATGATTTATTTTTATCGAGTGGTAAGAAAATAAATATTTCATGAGATGCGGTGTTATCATTTACTTTTTTATTTTTGACAATATATCTACAATTTGAAAGACTTGCCCTTAAATTTTGTATATCGGCTGAATCTGAAAGAAAGTAGTCTGGCAAGACACAAGTGAAAATACGGAAAATAAGTCACCTGCAGTAGTGAAGAAAATACGCTTTTCATTTCTAATACATAAATTTTTCTCTATAATTCTAAATATAGTTCATTATTAAATCTAACTGGTCAGCTTTGCTCAATTTAAAATACTGCTATTTCTATTGTAGATGTAGAATTTAATATATATACTAACGGTGCGAAAAAGTAAGAAATATACGTCTAAACTTAATTTTCTCTGTATATCTAATATAAGTGGTCAGCAATTTTCGCTATAAGTTCAACTGGTCATGAAATTCTTCTACATGTTTAACTAGTCAGCAGATCGATCATCCTACTATACGTTTAACTGGTCAGCAGTTTTTCACATGATGTACAGTATGTTAAAGAAATCTTCTGAACAAATAGAATATGAAGAAAATACAACAAAAATCACATAAGCAATTTCTTTTATATTTTAGTTTCTCAGCAGTGGTTTAAATTGGTTTGCGAGATGTAGAATATTTTATATTTACTTACATGTCAATATAAATAAGAAATTCACGGCAAAATAACATATTTCTCTATATATCTAATTGGTCAACAATTTTCACTGTTAGTGTAACTGATCAACAGATTTTACTATGTGTTTAACCCTTTACCTTATATAGACGTGTTTTCACCTCTTTTCTCCCCCATACCCTTTTGAGGCCTCAAATACATCGGGGTGCCAAAGGGTGTGTGTGTGTGTGTGTGTGTGTGTGTGTGTGTGTGTGTGTTCTCTTCCGCAATGGGGGTTTGAAGGGGGACTGTCGCCCTCACTCAACTCTAAACAAAATTTGGACTTGTGAGAGGCTCAAAATGGCAACAGGTCGATCTTCAGGTAACGTGTAACCAACGCTGAAAAGCGCTTCACTCTCGAAGTTGCAGCTTTGACGGAAAAAATCAACACAACTTAGTGATTTTGAAATGTCCGCTCGTTTCCATGGTAACAGGAAATTAAGATACAAATGCTATGGTCCAGTAAGTATGTGTGCCAAGTTTAATCAGTATAAGAACATATTTTGTAGTAGCAATTTAAACTTGTGTAATAGGAGGTTTTTCAATGAAAGCAGCCATTTTTCACAAAATGCTTAATAAGTTAACTGGTCAGCAGATTCTACTATACATGTGTAACTAAAGCGCCGTACGTTGTCTGCTGACCATATAGTATAAGAAGAAAATATGGCATAAATTAAAAAGCAATTATACTTACATTGAAAATAACACAAAATATCACAGCAAATTTTCCTCTGTACATTTTCCTCTGTACATCAGCAGTTTCTCAGGGTTAAGCTAGCATCACTTTGGCTATATATAAAACAAGTGGGCACAGGCAGAATCTAGTATATCTTAAATGTTTTTTTTATCTAATCATATTTAGTTTCTATCTTTCAGAAATATAAAAGCGCTATGTTCACCAAGTACCAAAAATGGCTCCATCTTAGATATTGATAAAAATCTAAAGGAGCGCCAATTTGGTAGTTAGTTAGTTATTCTTAATCCCCCACTACTTTCCAGCAGATAGTTGGTAAATCGAACTTTGCATGTTTTCCTTAAAAAAAAACAAAAAACAAAAAACAACAAAAAACAGTAAGTATTTTCCCGGAATAAATATAATGCATAGATGTGTTTTTCAACATTGGAACACATTGTCTCGTTATGTCCACCAGCGGAATCAGTTGGCTATAGTACAATATGCTGACCAGTTAAACTTATAGTAGGATCTCCTGTTCAATTAATCTTATAGTGAAAATTGCTGACCACTTATGTTAGAAATATAGAAAAAAATATGTGTTGACGTAAATTTCTTTTTAACTTTTTTACAATGTTTGTAAATTAAATGTTATAAATTATTTTCACATATTCTACACCGTCAGCATATTCGTCGGCAGTTTAGAACTGCCCAACGGAAGGAGATAGTCGACAATGCGATAACGACAGTGCGACAATGCGATGGCGATAGTGCGATAATGCGATTGTTGTTGTTGTTTTTGAAGGTGAAAAATAGAAAAGATTTCAAACACTTAATTGGTTTGTAGTCAAATTAACATTTGTTGCAAAATCAAAAATGGTAGAAAAAATGTTTTTAAAACTTAGATTTATGTTCGGGATAGAATACATTCTATCTGATAATGGTTGACGTCAGTGTTAACAATGATATACTATAAATCTTGAATAATCTTAATTATGATTTCTATTTTTTATGTTGCTAATTTTATTTCATCGTCTAAAACCACAAAGAACTATATAGCGATAAAATATGGTAAGCAATGTACTTCATTTAAAACAGAGCGCAAATTATAATTTAATATTGGAGTCTCTGCTCAGCTTTGAGTTTCTGAATTATGACAAATTGGTTACTGCCTTCAAGCGATTATAACGCATTATCTAACAGTTCTCCAACATATTAAACTGTGTTTGAACTCATTTAATTGCACATGTTACTTTATTTTCTTTACAAGTTATTTATTGTCGTTATGTAGCGAAAGTCAGCAAGCTATTTGGCAAATTGGTTTCAAAAAGGATCAAATTCTTTTCAATGAAATGTAGGCCTAACTGTTTCTTGCGGATATTATTTTTGCCACTCTAATCGCTTGCAACGTAACAAGACGATAATCAGGGTGTTAATCAATGATACGTTATCGTCTCCATGAAGTAAAATGGTGATCAGCCAGATAAAACCTATCATTTCTTTCTCTAAAAAATATAAATTTCTCATAAAAGCTCACCACTTTAAACGAATATTAAGAACCAAGAAGGTAACTCGTATGGATACATTTTAATACTCTAAATTATGCAAAGCGATAACAAATAGCAACATAAAAAGATGCATCGTTGTATTTGTACAAACACACACAAAATATTACGTACAATGAAGTGCCGTAAAAAATGTTTTCACTAACTATATTATATAGTTCTCAAATGCATACTATCAAGTAAAGAACACGTTTCTAAAATTTTGCTAGTTTTTAGCGGAGTTTTATGTATATTTACTACTCGTAATGATTAATGAAAATATTGTTGAAGTAAAATAATGTCACCTATGTTTCCCTTGCAAAAGCATCATTAATATTAAGAAATTACTGCAGACCTATTTTCACATTCCTTTTGACATAAACAACATGCATGTAGTATCATAACAAGGAAAAAATCAGCAACATATTTCAGTAAACGAACACTAACAAACTCAATCAATCACATATCATTGGAAAAACAGCGTAGAGCATTTCTAACAAAGATAAATGAAACCAAACAATAAAGCATATCAACATATAAATGTAAAGCAAATCATGTCCTAAAACGTCATATCTATATCTTTTTGATATCAATAGCAGATAATCTAATTACTTCGGTATTCCGTGATTCAGATGTCCGTTGGGAGGAATCATCAAACTCATATGGATCTCCATGGGTCTTGAACGCCAATTTACTTGTACTCAATGACGTGTTCTTCGCTTCTATGACTTCCCTTGGATAAGACAGCAGCAACTGACCCGGTCTAAACGAGGGTTTTGAAGATTTTAACCCCTTGTGCTTGATTGTATGGTGTGGAGGAAGCATTACACCTGGCGCTGTTGTAAATGATGTAATTGCAGAAACATTGATGGAATCGTCCAGTAATGTTAAAGCTGCAGCTGTTCCTGATCGAGCAGATTCTAGAAATATTGAAGCACTTGTTGTAGGCCGCTCTTCGTCCATCTCAAATGTCTCGTTAATCTCTAAGCTCTTTAGATCAACTCTTCGAAAGAACAAAGCAAGTTCAATTAAGATCTACTCACAAATAACATCATATTTTAAAACATATAAAGTTACTATGAATTTGTGCATTATCAAAGAAACAACATATCTTGTATTAACGAAATCCCCGCTCATAATAGCACTTGGCAAAAGATGAAAGTAGTTTACATATCATCTAACAACGTTTGTGGAATTAGTATTGAACAAAATAACTTTGCTTAAGGACCAATATTCGCTTGCGTGCTTAACATTGTATTCTTGATTACAGTTAAGAAACCTAAATAATTTTTGCCTACAAATTTTTTATCTAGACGTATTTTGTTTTTCAGATATTACTTACGTGTTAGGAGCTACTTTGTTGACGTTATAAGTTTTGAACCTATATATGAACTTCCAAATCAGAATAGACGCCCCTCCAACAGCAAGTATTGAACATATCAAAATGGCCATTAATTTTGGTATGTTGATGTTACATTTATAGTCGTTTATTAAATCTTCACAGTCAAACATCAGAGCGCATGGTTCCCACTGACACTCATTTGTTTCAGTCTGGCACCATTGACCCCCATATCCAGGGAAACACACACACTGGAAATCTGTAAATGATATGGATCGTAGTATGTCGTCACATCCTACACTCGTAAGCGAACTGCACTGACCATAAACACACGGATTATTCAAAATGAATAACTGCACTGTTACAGATGGGGTAAAACTGCTATCTGCTAGTTTTGCGATGAATTGCAGACTCATGTTGCCACTGACCTCTGGAGAAAATTCAAAACTAACGTCATATGCCCGTAAGCTTTTGTATAACTTTGATGTAATATTCTCTAAATCAATATAAGAACTATTCGCATTAACAAGTTCGTATGTTGAGTTTCCAAGAGGACTAAAGTTCACTTTGACTTCAAACTCTTCATTTATGTCAACATCTGCCAACAAAATTTTTCCAGCGTAAAATGAAGTTGATTGATTTGCATTGAGGATGAAAGTCATTGTCATGGAGGGTCGAATATCTGAATAAATTATACTATTCGAATCAATAAAGTACCTATCCGTTCTATCTGGAACTTCTAATATATTCAGAGTTATTATCTTTTCATTGACAAGAACTTCCTCGTAATCTGGAAGACCTGTCTCCGTAACCTTAACCGTAATAGAGTCTTCGCCATTAAATTCTTCATAAGGTGTACAATTGAGCAAACCACTTGTCTCTTGAATTTCACAAACCACGTTTGATTGGTCTTTTGTTATTTCGAATACAAGAGTATCATTTTCTAAATCAACAGTTTTTATGTGCAGTTCACTAGAAGTATCTTCTGTAAGGTACAGAACATCAGTCAATATAATTGGTGGGTTATCTGGAAATTTGCGAGAAATGTGAGAAAGAGCAAAGAGTCTTGGATACTTGTATATAAATGTCGAAGCTCTCTTTGTTAAGGATGTTGTCTCCGTACTTGCCTTGCATATCTGAAATATAAATTAATTAAGATTCAAAGTACCTTTAAGCTAACTAAGCTAACTGTGTATACACTTGAACGGACATGTTCTTTTGTTTTGCGGTGACTTATTTTTGTGTATTCTGCAGTCATTTTAGCATCACAGAATAAAAATCCGCAGAATATTTCTCCCTATTTTGGTATTTAACCTGGGAAAATATATGTTCTACATTATTCCCGTTTTTTTCATGTTTTTTACGTCAGTTTATGATTTAAGATATACTTTACACGTCATTTTACGTTGATCAAGCGATGGATGAATAATTTTCTATTGTTCCGCGATAAATTTGTTTGCATGCGAGCTTTAACGGTCTGTACCATTTTACGGTGATAACGATAAACAAATGCGAATTTGTTCCAGCAAATGTCACATGTACCCGCAAACTGCATTGACCACTCACAGTCCAAGGATTTAAGTGTCCAGAAAATTTGAAGAATTTGGAGCCCTAGAAAAACACTAATAAATATCGTTCCGTGTATAGTATTTCATATTTTTACTGAAGTCCATAAAGAATTTTGTTTATAAAACGGTTCTTAAAACGAGGAGGTCATTTGTTCTTGTTCATGTACATGTACCTATTAACATCAAGATATACAGCACAGACCAAACATACCTCAGTGAGATAAACATTAGAAGACACTACAGCTGTCAAATGGTCCCTGCATCCTTCGTCTACATGAACCCACTGCTCCTTGTCTGAAAAATATACAATATATATAACATCCGTATAGAGAAGCAAATAATAATTCTGTTTGTCTTAATCAACAATTCTAAAACCAAGACAAATTTCTTATCCAGAAAGGTAAATTATTATAAAGTTTAAAATGAGATCAAAACAAAATTTGGTTTGACTGAAAAACAGTTAACTTTGCAATATATTTATAATATACGAAAACCTAATCGCGTTTAAATAACAGTTACCGAAATTCCAGAACATTAAAGCAGGTTGGTTATCTGGATCTTTCTCACATCCATCAGGTACGGTTATATTTATCCTTATATGTTCGTATTCAGCCAATGGAGACGGTGATACAAAGAATGTCGTATTACACAACTTTTTAATCCTGGAAAGCCAAGAATATAACAACTGTTGTATAAGATTTTTCTAATTAAAAATAATTAAAGGTTAATCCAGAAATTATAGCAATAAACAACAACAACAGAAAGCAACAAAAAACAAAACAACATTTCAAGATAGATAATGTTGCAATTTTGTAATGAACAGATATTTGTTGTAGTTAATTTTGAAAAAAAAAGTAAATACAATTTACGTGAAAATATGATCAGGATTTATCGATTTCTGCTCCTATATTATGATGCAATTTTATAGTTTCTTAAGGTGACAACGGAGTCAATTATCACTGAAAATACCTAAAATGAGATTTTTTGCTTAGTAGATTTATCAACCATTTCTGAACACATTCGTGATTTAAGTTTGGAAGCAGTTAGTCCAAAAAATGTGTTTTTAAACGTTTTAAACGGTACCTGTACCATTTTTATCTGCTATTCGCGTAACCTGTCAATTATCGAGAACGCTCCGCCCCCTGTTGAGGCATCAATGAGGGAAATCGGTAGTTCCATATATCCGTGAATTACCGGTCCATACTGGTCCATACTACTCGTAATTCATGTATCGTTCAAATACCGTACATCTTTTATGAATATCGTCTACCTTTTATTTAGCATTTTTTTATAAAATAAGAAATTGTCGGCCAATGTACGTAACATAATGTATAAAACATAAACAATTAAGCATAGCGGCAAATCGCACGACCACGGGGTTGTTTAAAATATGGTTGCTAAAATATCCATAATGTGTGAAAATAATTTGTCTGTCCCGTTAATCTGATAGATATTACATTGAGTTTATGGACTTTTGAACGGATTCAATGGCTTGCTTTACATTCAACCTCGTTTTCTAACAATGTCAAGTAAAACAACAACAAAAACAGACAACTTTTTTATGTGAACGCCTATATGACTTGCGGTACGGTGTCCCTGACAAATTTCTAAACCATTTTAGATTGTTTAAGGATGATTATTTCTCTATGAATCAATAAAAAAAAATATTAATATATATTATCTGTGTATGCTTTGAATAAATTGTTCGCCAGTAAATCGAACACAGTACAATAAACCTGGGACAAAGTATGGAATTATTGTATACCCCAGTAGAAACTGGATCTCTATGCCGTGCGTAAATGATTTTCATGATAATAGATGTCAAGAGGTCAGATCATAATTATCGAGTGATACCTTTTATTTCCATTAAAATATGTCAAGCATTTATATCAATTTGGAGGAAAAAATATATAATATCCCGTTCTAATTTGTACATCTACCATGGACTTTAAAAAGACCGTCAGAAGCTAAGTTTTTTGTTATTTTAATTTTATATTTTAACGGAAATTCATACACGAATACACAGACAGAGTGACAACTGGTATAATATAATAATAATGCTGATGATAATAATAATAATCTTCAAACGTGAAACAATTAAATACCCCGCGCTAAGGGTGCGAAATACGTTCGCATTCCCCCCCCCACCGAGTGCCTCAAATTTTACCGAAAGTCACGTGACATGTGAGACCGATACCAAGACGAAAAGTAAATCACGTTAAGATTTGAAGAAATTTCTGTAATAAACTGATATTAATCAGCAAATTTTTAATTGGTCAGATGACACTGGGTCATAAAATGTTGTTAGAGTATGTTACCGCAACTTGTGACCCTCTCTGGTGCGATATTTGTGTATTATGCAATTATTTAGCGTGAAACGTAGGGGTCCGAGAGAGAACAGCCGATTTATGACACTTCGTTTGATGCGGGTCGGACTAACTTTGAATCGGCAATAACTTTTTTATAATCAAGCAATTAACATGCGGTTTAAAGCACATGAAAGGGAATTTATTTACGGAGGGAACCGTGTCAGGGATTTTTTTTTTGCTCAATCAGCGACTTAATTATCTTTAATTACGTAATATGTATGGTGAAAAAAGTCGTATAAAATGTTTGACGTTACGTAACAATTTTTTGAGAAAAGATAGAAAAAAATTTGAGACACGGTTCCCAAGATATTATAAGTATGTTTATTTTCCAAAAGTTTGATGACAAAAAAATAAAAAATGACTTTGATAGGACGATTAAAAATTTTAGGATTTTTATTAAAAATCAATCATTTACAAAGGCATTTTTTTCAAATATGTTATTTTTTATGATGATCAACGACATTTAATGCACAAAGATTAAATAAATAATAATTATTACTAAAATAAGTTGGTTTAAATGACATTTATGTGAGTACCACGGAAAGTGTCTGTTGTCACCTTAAAGATTCATTTGAAACAGATCAATTCTGATCAATGTACATATACAATACGGCTAATACATTTTAAACTATTTAAATACAATACTTCAACTTGTATAGCTCGCACAATTCTTTCCATTTATTTTTATTCACCAGGATACTGCAAATTCGTTACATACAAATTTATGGGTAAATGGCTCAGTCCTCAGACGAGGGACAACTAATCTCGGTCGTAAGAGTCATAAAGCTCCCATTGTAAATTATGAAACCATGTGGATTGCTTTTATTTTTATCGTTGGCGATTGCTAATTCGCGTTACCGGTGCACATTTCGGCAAAGCCGGTAAGGCATACGACATTTGAAATATCACCATAATGTGTTAAAAAAGTCGAACATAAAATAAACAAACAAATATAGTGTTATTTCCTATTGTTTTCAATGTTTTTAAACATGGCAAATGATAGTTCTTTCATTTCTCATAAAATATATCAGTACATATACCTGTTTCTTAGAAGTCTTGTCGTTTGATCAAGTGAAGTTTCAGGGTCCTTGATGAAAGGTTTATAATCCACAGTAGCAGCACTTCCGTAGTTACTAGACAGATCATCTTTTGTTAAAGTTCCTAAGCTTAAACCACCAGTAATAACTATCAAGAAAGACACGTCATATACTTTCATATTTACATTTCTTTTTCATATTTTTTGAAAGAATTTCTAATTTTAACTATAAATATGATACAGCCGATAATTCAGAATGGAACATTCGGTTTCGAGCTTTTCACCATCGTCGGATACCCACGATTGATAAACATGTCACATAACATGCAATCAATGTTAATGGTTCGGCCGTGGGTATCCGACGATGGCTTTTCACATAAAACTATTATTTATCTAAATCCAGTATATAGGTAACGGACAAAAAACTCGGTTTTTTGTCGTCATTTTTTATCATGTGGTATTAAATTCCCCATTCTGATTAACTTAAAGCAGACTACGGGTAGAAATGGTCAAATCTTGTTAAATTTTATGTGGTTGTCTATAAATTTGACTGCCCGGCCAGTAATATTCGATTTTTTTATTTGTAGATATAATATCAAAACAAAAAGTAGTATAATACATACGACTGGCATCAATAGCAATTTGTGGCAAAGGTACTACACTGGCACTCCATTTATCTGATGATTTTGGTTTTGAAGCCAGGACCTGCTTTTGCGTCCCGTTTAAGAATAAATCATTTACACCTAATTCCAAATTTAAAAAAAAGTACTTGTATAACTTACATTGATTTGCATTGATAATAATTAAACTTAAATGAGCATATGTCATTTGTTTTGTACTTTGATGTTCCGAGTGATTATTCATTTGAGTGTATTAATAGTAGGAATTCATGAATGATAGAGTCTTACAAAAATTAATTATATAAAATAAAAGAATGAATGCTGATTAATCTAAATATGTATCGTCTTAACTTACTTGGAAATTTTGACTAAGCCTTATTTGATGTTGAATGATTTTTGTTCTAAAGTCAATATAAATGCATTTTATATATTGCCATACATGCATATTGTGAATCTTCTTTCCCTAACGAAAATATCACATCTGGAACAATATATCGAATGACGAAAAGCAATAAAACAAGATCAAGAGAAGAAACATAGTCCTTAAAATCAATCATACTTACGTTTGACACAAACAGTTTTTCCTTGTATTTTACTTTTTAAGTGAGAAAATCCAATAGCATAAAGGGACTGGTGTACACAGCGACCCGGTTCCATGTTAAAGAAAGCCTTCTCCTTCTCATCTGTTTCGGTTATGTTACGTATTTCATCTGGCGTCATACTTGTCATATTTCTAAACTCCGCTACTGATCTATTTATTGCTCTCCTGTCAAACTCAAGCTTTCCGTAGACAATAGCAGATGATCCAACTTTTTTCTGCCCAACTTTCACTGGTGGAAAAAGGTCCTGTCCGTCCCTTGTTGTTCCAATTTGCCATTCTGTCAATATATCGTTTTATGAAATTTTTGCCTCAGTAGAAATTAAGTTATTAAAAACAAGTCAACTTTTCTGCTTGAGGCGGTAGAGTGTGAAAGGAATTGCCCTTGCTCATGAACAAATTCGTTCAATTTCATTCTGCATTTTCACTTTTTTACTAAAATCTTACTTTTGTTGCTCTTGGCGGATCTAGATTTGAGTTATTTTTAGAAAAAGAATATTGAAGTAGAAGTAATACTTAAATGTATCAAGTTAACCTTATTGTTTGTAAGATTGGAAATAAATAGTTGTTGAAAAGAGGTTTTTAGGAATATATAGTGTTTTGCCAAGTATTGTAGTTAAAATGATCATAAACACACACTAGTCTTATAAGTTTTGGATTTGTAAGAGGTATGACATTGGAATTTAAACATTTGCCAGGTTATTAAATTAAAAATAAATTAAAGTAAAATGTAACAGAACTGCGCTTAACATTTTTATGTACTTACCATAATATTCTATTTTCGAATTGCCACCTTGCCACGCTATTCCTATTTCTGTTTGTGATGTAGTCCAATATGGTGCATCCGCATCTGCCGACACAGACAATGCATTTGTGAAAAGTGGTGTAGTTACCGCACCAGATGTATCCGGTGGAAATAAACTGACTTGAACGCTACAGCTTTTCGTAACAGATAAACCGGCGGTATTTACCGTTGTCACTTCTACTACATAGTTTTCACCATCTCTAAAAGTACCATTTTCTAATCTGAACGCTGTTTTTGTTTTCAAATGAACTGACGTACTGTTCATTACAATTTCATTATTGATAGAATTGAAAATGCGTACAATATATGATTCAATTTGACTTACATCCTCGGAACAGTCCCAATATGCACCGATTGTAGAACTTGATCCTAAATGTTGTGTCGGTTCATCTTTACTATAATCAGGATCTAGACACTTTACATAGTCACATTCCGGTGGCGTAAGGTCTATCTGTATGGCATTTGAATACACTAAGGATTCTAAGCCTGCATAATTAACGGCCTTTACGTTCATATAGTACGCTGTACTGTTACATTTTAAATCACTTGAAACATTGTAGCATGAATCACCAACACTACTAGATTTCATATCTAAACCTTTTAAGTCAAGAGAAATTAATTCAAACCCGTCATAAAGTGTTTTGTGTGCACATGGCTGTTTACAGAGGGTTTCGCATAGCCCTTGGCAAGGGAAGCAATATTGTTGATACAGTGACAAAGGAAGCACATTGCCGAATTCAAATTTATTGTCAGAAACTCCGAGCCATATCTCTTTTACACTACTTTCCCCGTCATAAAATCCTCGACCATGACGACACAGTTTATCCATTTCATCTGGTATATCAATCTGGCGAATCACGGCGTCGCTGTAAAACGGCTTGTAAATATCTGTTATCGGTGGTTTGTATCCATTTTCATTCCAAGTCAATACAGTTATTTTCATGTCACCAAAAAATTTGAAACCAGCTATATTTATAATTTCTTCACCATCAATAATCAGCGTAAGATCTAAAGCTGTTTCCAAATATTCTGATTTCTTGTCTACTCGGATTGTAACTTTATGATATTTAGCCGAAAAATCAAATGGAAAGCTGAACCATCTTTGTATGTTTGTGAACTTATTTCTAGCCCAGAACACATGATGCCAGTGTTTATTGTTTGCAATTTTATATCCTAGAAAATGTACTCCGAAGCCATATTCTTCAGTGTCAAAGTTAGTGTCCGTACTACTTATACTATCATTAAATGGCACGAAAGACACAGGATTTCTTCTAGTTGTAATTGGTGTTGATGTTGTGTTTGTGTCCGTGATATTTAATTCAGGAACTTCAAGGCCCGTCATATTTTCAAATATACTTTCATCAAATTCAACTTCAACAGGTTTTTCTTTAATGACCAACGGTACAGCAACATTATCAGTAATTAGAGCAACAGTTGTAACAATATTCTCTCCATTTGCAGTCAGGGCCATGAGAGTATAATTACCTCTTTCCAAAGTAAGTGGTTCAGACACGATACTTGATTTGGTCATTTCACTTAAGTCGGCGTTATAACCTATCCCAAGAAAAGCTCCAGTACGGTTAACATTGACGAAGTCTGTACTAAAGTCGCCAGAAAATACATGAAATTCAATATCCTGAGCATTTGGGAAGTAATGTTTTTGTGTTGGGCAAGCATAATCATCAGACGTCGATGCAATAGCTAATAAACCATGTAACTCTGATGTTGAATGCTGGAATGTATCCAAAGAGAACCAGTTCTTTGCAATCTTCACATTACCTGGAAACGGGACACTTGTATCTACTAAAATAGATTTACTTAAAACATTTGTCACCAATTTTGCCCCATTTGTAAAGGTAAAATTTATATGGTATACATTTTGTGAACTCAATTCAAGTTCATAGAAAGCAGTTTTGTTATCATTTTCTACTATATCCTCGGCTATGGGGATACAATTTGAATTAGATACATTCTCATAACCACATTTCTTGCATTCAAGAAGAGACACTTTTGTTGCTATAACTCCAGATTCGATATCGTTGAAATCAATCCACTTTACTCTCATTTCTGAACCTGAATCAGCAAAAAGCACAGTCTCGCTGCGAATATTATTGACAAACAGAGATCCGATGCGTGGTGGTGATGTGTCGACGAGGATTTTATCGCTTGTAATACCTATACACATTCCAGCTTCATCTTTGGCGATAATTGTAACAAAGTACTTATCTCCATGTTTTAGTTTTAGGCCCGATACCTTCTTGTATTCATCTAAGCCAACGCTTGATAAACCAAAAATGGCATACTCATTTGAATTACGATAAAATGTCGAACACGTATGGGTATCGTTTGTTATGACATTGTCATGGATACTTATACCGATTACGTAGTCAATAATATCAATGTCTGATCTAAATTCTGTCCAAGATACCTCTACAAATGTCGTAGACGATTGGTATCTATCAATTGACATTGTACCTGCAGTGATATCGTTCATTAAAACCAAATTTGGGATGCCGTTGGAAAAAACCTTTTGCATAAAACCCCCTGCTATAAATATAAAGACCGGGAAATGTGGAGTAAATATTTCACTAATTTTGAAGTAAGATTTAAAGCTTTAATTGTGAATGAAGTATTAAGTCCAACATTGACAAAGAAATGAATATTTGATCTTGTTTTCTCGTAACGTCTGTCATTACAATAGAAACTTCGTAATGGTGAATATCTTGTGTAGGGTCTTTTGAGCCATACCAAAATCATCCCAATTTGCAGATAATTCAGTTGTACTAAATTGATAATTCAAATCCTCAAAAAGTCCATCTCTTACTAGCCCAGGAACAGGCGGCTGAATACGAACTGAGACGCCGTCTGAACGTGCAATCTTTGTACGACCTAAAAAGTCAATAGTTTTTACAGTTACAAAATATTTCATTCCATTTTCCCAATGCTACCTCATCGTTATAGAATTATATAGCCGCAGATGGAATAGATTGAAAAGCGAAAAGTACTTTTCCAGTCCGATCATTTGCAGACACCACGCTTCTTTGACAGGACAGAGATCTGAATACTTCCATTTTCCTTGGAGAAGATTAGGTAGTGGACTGGTAATATAATGTCGTCATCCTGTGCGCCATCGCTCACTGAAAGTACTGGTGACTGGCTTATGACAAACACTGTCTGATGTAACTTCCGTTTTCAATCCAGCGTGATTGTTATAATCTCAAAGTTGCAATAGAATATTGATCCTCGTGTAAAGTGAAAACTTCGTCTACAAATATTACACCGTTTCTCCTAACTGGACTGGCGTATAGTCTTTGATGTCGCGCAGCATAGCGGAGCATGTCCGATAGAAACTTCATACCCTGTTGCATAAACAATATAATGCATACAAATTGCAAATTGACTAATTCAAAAAAATGTAATAAGACTCAAAGTGGACTGATACTTTTTTGTTTGTACTTATCAATTTAAAATGCCCAAAATCAGATTAAATGTATTAAACCATCTTAAATTAGAATTTATTTTTTTTACCCCTGGCCCATTTTGAAAAGGGATCAATATTTTAAATTTTAAAGCTGGAAAAATTGCAAAAAAATTTTAAACTTTTTTTACTTAAAACCCTTTTAAAATAATTTTTACTTTAGAGAAAAATTTTAAAGAATTTCCTACTTGAATTTGATTTTTCCTGATTCCAAACAAACGGCCCAAAAATAAAATGGAGAAGCTTTGCCAAATTTCCCATTTTTAGCTTTGGGACTTTTTGAATTTTGTTACGGTTCCAGGCCCAATGTTTGTGAAACTGCAAGGGCGAAACCCCGGAACCCCCAGGTTTGATAAAACTTTCTTGCCAAAGAAATGTGCCCTACAAAATTTTGGACCCTTCAGTTTAAACAAATTTATGTACATTTTGTTTCAATTTAAAGAAATTTTCCAACCGAGGTAAAAGAGTTGAACTCTTTTGCTACAACATAATTATCCGGGAAAAAATCTTTTTGAGGTTTTGTGACAATGAAAAAATAATTTTATCTTATGGGGCTTTCAATTTTTAAATTTCTTCCCATGTGAAGTTAAAATACCTTTTTGCGCCCAAAAATACTTTTGTAAAAATCTAAGGTTTTCTTAAAAGGTTTTAGTTTTAAAACAGCAATTTTTAGCCAATTTATGACGTTTCGTTAAAATTACCGGATTGTCAAAAACTATTTGTTTTGTTATTTAAAGTTTCTCCCGCTAAAAGCGACCCCGCCTAGTTACCCCCAAAAAAACCCGTAAATGGATGGGCCCCTCCCTCTGAAGGGGCCCAAAGATCCCAAAACCCCCTCAAAAGAAGATACCGGGTTTTTGTCTGTTACATTGGGTGAAAATTTGGAAATGTATCAGTCCCCACCCTGGTAAATAAAATTTTTTAAAATTAAAAATTTGGGATATCATTGAGCCCCAAAAAAACCGGGGGGTTTTTCCGGGGTGTGGCCCGACGAGGGGGGCAAAATGTTTTTCATCCTGAATCCTGTTAAGCTCTTTTGTTATGAAATATTTTTTATCATTAAACCAATTTCAATTTGGAATTTGACATTGACCGTGAGGGCTTTGGGGTTTTTCATGACAAGTCCATGGGTTTGTTTTTATTGTCTGGTAAAGTCCCCTTCCATACTGATGTACCCATTTTCCCATTCATAGTTTAGAATATTACAACTCTCACTCTCAAAACCATAGAATGATGCTGCAATTGATGTATAATCAGTCGTATACATCTCATCCTGATAAAGGTTTCTACCATCAAATACTATTCCTGCGACGTTAGATTTTTGTACGAAAATCGGCTTCGACTGTCCGGCAGTTGAATAAATTCCCGCTCCGTTTTCTGCTTTAACATATACGACGTATTTAATGCCGGATTCTTTAGAAGTTTGAAAATGTATATTTTGAATGTAAGCAGTAATTTCAACTCCGTAGTCAGTGAAATTCAGAATACTTTTCTGGTCAGATTCAGTTGTTCCTATGGCAACTTGGTACCATTTGATACCGCTTTCAGGGTCTCTACAGGACCAGCTGACACGTATACCATTCTGATCATAGTGTAAAACATTTCCGTCATCATCTAGTTCCTCTTCGTCTTTGAAGAGTCCAATGTAAACCTGGGAAAAATAATTTTAGAATAAAGCATATGCTATCGCAGTTAAGTAATCGGCATGTGTTCGAATCTAGGGGCTTTGATTACTTCATGTAATTGAATCCATATTGTTTTATTACTGAACTTGGTTCTATTCAGGTACCCATTCCTTCTGATTAAATGCTCTTGAGAGAAACTGGCATCTGTCTCCACTTAAACAAATCTATGCCAATAAATGTGGGCTTTAAATTCATTTTCTTTTATTTCTAATTAGGTGTTTTTGTAAATGCCAATTTGTAAATTGGAGTTATAAAATGGAAAGGACAAATCTCTGGGATAAATGAAAGGAAAAAGCAAACAGCTGAAAGTCGGTGAGTGTTTATAAATTACGTAAACTTTCTTCGTGCCTTTACACTGATATAAAAAAATGGTAGACAAAAATTATTTTGGTGTAATTCCCCATAAATTTCCCAATTCAATACAGAGTTATTTTTAGTTCTGATGACCCAATAGAAAACATTAAAAAATGTTGCAGGTTTTTGGTTGAAAGACATTCGGATAGAACATGAAACCGGGCACGTCAAAATGACATCAACATCGTGTTTATCTCTTTGATATGATAAACGTGTTTTTATAGAATTCTGTACTTAATTATTATAAAAAAAATCAACATGGCTTGCGGTTTAAAAAAATGATATAATATCGTTTAATTATACAGTATCTTTATATAAAATGCACAAACTTCATTTTTCTAAAAATAAAATCTTGTAACCTAGTAATAAGTTATTTTTTAGATATAGAAGTAAAATCATGTAGTACCATTTACTTCATAAACTTTATCTTTATCTTTTGCAGTTTTGTCAGAGTGCAAAAACTGCAATTCATTTTGAGCAGGGTGCACACCTTTAGTCTTTCCATGTAGTCTATTCATATCTATCTCTATCCAGAGCGGCAAGAGTCATTTAACGCCAACCCATTTGTTGTAAATCTTGGACTGCACAGTCTTGAATCTTAACTTGAATCTAAACTACACATTTCCCAAGCCTTTTATACCTCTTAAATACAAATGTGCGGCTAAAAGAAGTAGTCTTTCTTACTCTTATATATTTGTTAGAAATTTCTAAGGATATCGACATCACTATTTTCGATACGACCATTTGCATTCCCGTCTTGTTAGTTGTCGATTTTGCGTGATTTCAAACAAATTTATAGGTTTATTTGTAACTGCTTTATGAATACAAAGATAGCAAATATATAGATTATCCTAGGTGTCTGTTATCTTAGATCAATTAATAATTAATATGCTAACTATTTTAAGGTTATTTGTACAAACATAACATTCTCTGATTAGACGCCAGTTCGAAATTGTTATTTTTTATAATTTACAAATTCACTAGTTAACTATTAATAATAAAAGTCTTCTTTACTTTTGAACATCTAAATCAGTCTGTAAACGTTGAAGAAGACAATCCCACAAGATAGAGGTTAAATCAATGAACCAGAAGAAATCTGCAAATATCTACATCCCCTTTTATTAGTTACATCACCTATTGAATGTTGGCAAGTCAGTGGTTCCTGATAAATAGTCCTGACAAATAGAACATGGCAAAATCATCTAAGGGGTCAACTTGATGCCAGCACTATTAAGTGTTGAGAATTGAGTACCGCTCAAGCCGGTGCTAGTTGGCGCGAGGGATGTTGCACATACTCATTATCCCTCATGAAGAGACTCAATCAAACCGAGTCTGCAATTCTCTTGTTAATGTGTTATGATTAATGCTTCCGAAAAATCACTTTGTTTCGAGATTTTTGACAGACAAAAGGCATTGTAGAAGAAATGGCTTTTGGTAGTGAAGTATTGATGACTTCCGTTTTGCGATTTATATGTACAAGTTTTGTTTGCTTATAAGTATTTATACTTCAATTCAAACACTGTTTTGGTCATATCTCATTGTTCGAGAAGTTGACGTCGCACAAACACAATGAAAGAAACATAGCGACTTGCAGGTGGTGAAATACCTAATATGTCTTCTGTGCATTATTTCAGGCACGAACAGGTACCTGTGGACAACCACCGACGTTCCGTTAGCTAGTTTGATAACTTACCTACATGAAATAATCTAAAGTCTATGTCGGGATACGAACTCAACCCGGTCACCTGGGCCACAGACACTCCTTGATGTCCGAGACACATTATCACCAACAAATGTCTTGAAATGACTTTCACTCTAACGATCATTTGTCTTTCACTACAGAATCAAGTGACATTAGGAGTCAGACACTTATAGAGAAATCTGTAATAACTAGTTAGTTGTTCAGAAAAGCCGGTAGGGTGGATGATCTACCAGTTAGTTCTATACAAACATATAAACAAAGAAAGAATGTTAACAGCCGCTCACTGGAAGTCACCGAAGAGAATCCTGACAAACTTTGAAAAACATATTGTAAACAAAGCACTTACTGCTGATATGCATATTTGTTTCATTTTAAATATCCTGTAGTAGTCAGTGGTAGCTGAGAAATAGTGTATTGCACGAAACTTACAGCTGAAAATCATATAAGCGACATTACCTTGTGACGGAACTCATTATGCATTCAATTCATTGGAATAAATTTGAAACCGATCAAGACGGTGCTAGGAGGCATAAGGGATGTTGCACAGTTTTCATTTTCCCGTATGTACAGACTCAATTGACCCGAATCTATAATTTTCATGTCAGTCGGTTTGTTTTCTAATGATCACCTTTTTTCCCGCATTTTTGTAACGAATCGCCTATGTCTCAGATGCTTTGGGGTTACAAGAAGAAAATGTTACCATTAATATTAACAACATAAAAAAGCGCAAAACCTGAAGCAAGAGCGGTTGAACCGGTGATGTTATCTGAAAAGGTTTTGGACACAGAACAGTATACCTTTTGTAGTTTCTGAGTAATGTCCCGGACAAAGTTTAAAGTGCTACTTTTTTAAACCAAGGAAGGGCAGAGCTACTGTTCTTTGCACTGCACTTCTACCCAACGAGATCTATCTACCGGCTTAGTTTATTGCTGATACCTTTTGTAGTTTTACAGTAATGTCCTGGACAATGTTCAAAGTGAAAAATAAACAAAGGGCAATTACTTTAAAATTAGGCGAGGCAAGGTCACGTAGTTTTTTTACACTGCTCATCTACCCAATGAGATCTATCTACCTACAAAGTTTCTTGTTCATATCATTTATAGTGTCCGAGTTTTGTCCCGGACAAAGTTCAAAGTGTAAGAAGAGCACCGCTAGGCGGAGCATTATATGCCCGAAAGTGTTTTTTTAGTTAGGATGAAGCATTTGTAACACATGAGAATTAAATAAAGTAGTATCTCCTTCAAACAGCAATCCTCCTTTAAAGAATCTTCATATATATATATACAGTTGTTGTTTCCAAAGCACCAACATTAAATTGTTATCTTGTTAGTAAAAATGCTACGATGGATGGACGGAAAGCCGCCAGGGGTATAACAAAATATAAGCAATTTTTTAGGGCATATAATTAATGTACTCAAAATAAGTGATCATCCTTTGAAGTTTGACAGTTGTAAAACTGTTATCTATATTAAGGTCTTTTAATATTGCCCTTTGACCTTGTGACCCAAATATAGATATGGGTCTTTTATTCAATATAGGCAATCATCCTATGAAGTTTGAATACTGTGAGCCAATTGGAACTCGATTTATGCTCAAAAAACAACAATTTTCAGTGTAATGATTATTGTGACCCTGAACTTTGACCTTATGACCCTTTTCGGGTAATAGTGACCTTAACCTATGACCCAAAAATCAATATGGGTCTTTTACCCAATATGGACAAACATGAAGTTTGAATATTGTGGGTCGAATGGAATTAAAGTTATGCTACGGAAACTTTTTTTCAGTTTTGAGGTAATAGTAACGTTGAACTTGTGACTCCAAAATCAATAAGGGTCTTTTACTCAATATGGACAATCATCCTTTAAAGTTTGAATATTGTGGGCCAAACGAAACTTAAGTTATGCTCCGGAAACTGTTTTTAGGTTTTAGATAATAGTGACTTTGACCTTGTGATCCCAAAATCAATAAGTTTCTTCTACTCAATATGGACAATCATCCTATGAAGTTTGAATATTGTGGGCCAAATGGAACTTAAGTTATGCTGCGGAAACCAAATTGCTGACGGACTTACGCCAGGGAATATAAAATTAAAAAAAATAACAAAGGGCAATAACTCTAAAATAAGACAAGGCAGAATCACGATTCCTTTGCACTGCACTTTTATTACATGAGATCTATCTTCCTACAAAGTTCCTTGTTGATACATTCAGACCAATTTCCAGGATATTTGGATCAAAACAGTTGACACAAAAGTCTTAACAAGTTTTTATATTTTTAGTTCGTGACCTAGTTTTCTATACGAGATGACCCATGTTTGAACTCATCAGAGCAATTTCCTAGACAGGTTAACTGACACAGTTAAATGACAATTGAGTCAAAAATGTGACCACTAGAGTGTTATTTTGTTTTTGATTTTTACGGCACGTCAACACATAACTGGCCATATCGTGCCGAATGCTATAATAGGTTTAAAATGTTATGTTAGCATTGTCATTCGTGAGGAGATAAGAGTTGGTAAGTTTAGTGTGTCCGATTCGGCATCGAAGAAGAACTGTTTGATCATGGCGGCTAGTCAGTGATAGAGATGGTGACACATCAAGAGATGGGTTTATTAAAAACGGCATTTTCCCAATTGCTTTCCATTCAGATGATACGAGTCGACAATAGCAAACAAATAATGCGTTTCTCTGTAAAATGACAACAGACAATCAAAAACTTCAATTATTAAAAAATGAGATTAAGTTATTTTGGGAAGTATTTAACTCGTCAAAACCCGCCAAAATCTTTCGCAGTTCTTTCTTTTTGTTAAAATGCTCAATATACACCACTCAAGAAAAAGTAAAATGTTACAAATGGAATCAACTTTCTAAATTAAGTGTTAAGTGTATTATTATGGCAATAAAAAGATCACAGTTCCATCAAAAGAAGTCGAATTCAAAATGAACAACAAGGAATGACGTCATCCCCTAAAAAAACAGCAGAAGAGGAAGCACAAACAGGAAATGGCAAAAGGGCTGAGCTCTGCAAATAAGCATAAATTGTCTCGTTACACTTGAACATTCTTGATCGTGTGGCATACTGAGTATTTTCCTTAAAACTACATGTGTGAAAAAAGTATGCTGCATATGTAAACACGGGCAACAAAGTGTGTGTCTTGCCAAATTTGCACGCAAAAATAAAAACAACAACCTTTATATATATGCTGCATGCATGAAATCTTTTCTAAACTGTGTACCAACCAACATAAGCAGTAAAATATTTGTTTTTCGGAACATTTTTTTTCTGTTTGCGATCAGTTTCTATGTGTTTTTACTAATACAAAACATTTAATGTTACGGCAGAATAATAACCGTATTCGTCTAACAACTTAATTTAACCATTTGAAGCTAGCTTTATAACTTTTAATATGAGTAAAATATCAAAGAAGGGAAAAGAGAAAACTATAATCATTGAAAACAAAACAGTTTACTTTTGGTTCCTGTGGTGGAGTTGTATCAACTGTTACACCTTTTGTCTCATGCGATGATGCCAACAGTGCCCAATTAAGTGCTGTCACATGCACTGAATATAAAGCACCATCTCTCAATGATAACCCATCAACTGTAGAAGACACTTTTGTGAAGAAAGGTGTAGAGGGGGTATATATATTGTAATGGCTATCGGTAGGCCAGAATTTCTGCTTAACACCATATCTTGTTTCATAAATGACAACTCTGTATTCTTTAATGCCTGACTCTGTATCTTCAAATTCAAACATCACATCCATTCTTTCATTGTTACTTTGGTACGTCAAGGCTTTATCATTATCGGTAATTCCTACAATATAACATTGTGAAAAAAGTGTTAGCTTAGATGCTATTGTTATCAAATATCATTTCATCTAAATCCGATTCATTTTTATGATTTGCCATAATCGTTTTTATTGAATTAACGTATCGATTGGAAGGAGTACGTATACATGTTTTACTACTGTATAAGTATGGCTTTTATATTACTTTTTAAATATTAACTACAGTTGCGGCATGGCCGAGTGGTAAATGTTTCAGTGAGTACTACCCGCAAGCGTTCGGCAAGTCGATGTTTCATTGAGCACGACACTTTATACTTCTTGTTCAGGACTGGTTGGTTTATAGAACTGATTCCTACACAATCGGGCTGAAATAAATTATATATAATCCAAACATTAAAATAATGAACCTTTAAGAGTAGGCGATGTCAAATCTACCACAAATCCATTGCTTTCTGACTCATTTTCAAGATCAGCGCCGTTGACACCATGGACAGTAAATTTAACTGTGTCTTTGTGTTCCATCGATAATGTATGATCTTCAAATTCTGTTGCCTTTCCAGCGTCAAATATTCCTCTTTTCTCGTTGTTTATGACCACATCTACCCTGTAGTGATCAATACCACTTTCTGGATCATAATAACCGTTCCAATTTGTAAACTTGGAAACAGTTTCTGAACTAAAATTAAGTTCAGCTTCATTAGTTTTACCATCTCTTACGTGGCCGGCTATCGGATATGTCACATCAACAAGAACTGTAAATAAAAATTTAAAAAATGTTATGCATTTTGAAAAAAATCCTTTGAGAGACGAAAGTTGATGAAATTTCTTTACGACATAAAAGAGTGAAAAAAAGAATCCCCCAAAGAACGCACAAAACGACAAAAATGCAAATGTTGCAGGCTCTGTTATATGATTGATCCTTAAAGATCGTTCAGCACGACATTATTGTTGTTTGTGGTATTTTTTGTTTAGCTATTTGGCATTTTCTAGTTTGGTGGTTCCAGTATTCCTACAAGAATAATTTTGAATCACCCTCAGGATATGTTGCATGCTTTTTAAATTTGTTATTTGTTTTTTTTTATCTGTAATATGCAGGCTTCATAACATCTGCTCCAATTTAAAATTGAATTTCGTTTCGTTCCACCCTTTGTTTCGTCGTTAAGGGCATACACTTTTTATTACTTGGGGACCACACGCCGCTTTTCTTGGATTGGCGCGGAAATGTCACATTCCATGATAACCGCCGTATGAACACATCTACGGATGTTTCTAAGTTCAAAATTACCATTTCATGTTTAAATGTTGAATTCTGCTTAAGCCAATGCTAAAGGGCGTGGAACCAAAATTAAGGAAGTTATATGCCCTAAACGAGAAAACAATGGGCAGAACTGAATATAGTAGAAATCTGAAAGGGATCTTATATTTTGAAGCCTGTATATTACAGACAATACTTCAAAAGACAAATTTAGAAAGCAGGCAACAGATCCTAAGGGCGAACATACCGTATTCAAGTAGGATATACTGGAACCACCCAAGTTGAACAAAAGGGCCAAGATGGCCCTAGATCGCTCACTTGGCCCATCGAACTCATCCGAACAATAACCTAGACAAGCATCCTGACCAAGTTTCATGACAGTTGAGACAAAAATGTGACAACTAAAGTGTCAATAAGGTTTTTCTATATTTAAGCAGTGTAACATAATTGTTGACCCCAGGTGTCCCATATTCAAAATTGATATAGAAATAATCAACACAATTTTCAGACCGATTTCCAGGATAGTTGGATCGAAACAGTTGCCACAAAAGTCTTAACAAGATGTTTATATTTATAGTTATGTGACCTAGTTTTCCATCCGAGATGACCCATGTTTAAACTCATCCGAGCAATTACCTAGACAGATATACTGACACAGTAACTTGACAATTGAGTAAAAAATGAGACCACTAGAGTGTTAACAAGGTTTTACCACGTTTGGGCAGTGTGACCTAGTTTTTTACCCCTGGTGACCCATAATTGACAAAGATATTAACCAAACAAACAATCAGACCAATTTCCGGATATTTGGATCAAAACAGTAGCCTTTAGAGTGTTTATAAGATTTTTCAATTTAAAAGCTCTTGCGACCTAGTTTTCTATCCGAGATGACCCATGTTCAAATTCATTTGAGCAACTAACTTGACAAGCATCCTGACAAGATTTTCTGATGATTGAGTCGAAAATGTGACCACTAGAGTGTTAACAATGCTTTTCCATATTTGGGCAGTGTGACTTAGTTCTTGACCCCTGTTGGCTCATATTCCAACTTGATCTAGAAATCTTAAAAACAATCTTTCAAACCGATTTCCAGGATATTTGAATCAAAACATTAGCCCCGAGAGTGTAAACAAGATTTTTCTATTTTTAGCTCCTGTGACCTAGTTTTTATCCGAGATGACCCATGTTCGAACTCATCTGAGCAATTTTCTAGGCAAGGATCCTAACAAGATATGATAAACAAGATCAACAAGGAAAGGCGGCGTTACGCAACTCCCACCGACACAGTAACAAGAGCCAGTGGTAAGGAGCTCAGGAGGACCCGAAACAAAAACAGGACATGGCACAAGGCAGAGCATGAGCAGGCAAAGTTTGATGACACTCGATTTGAAAATGTAGCCACTAGAGTGTTAACAAGGTATTTCCAATATTTGGGCAGTGTGACCTATTTTTTGACCCCATATGTCCTATATTACAAATTAACCTAGAAATCATCAAAACAAACTTAAAGTCCATTTTCCAGGATATTTGGATAAAAAAGTAGCCACTAGACTGTTAACAAGATTTTTATATTTTAAGCTTCTGTGACCTAGATTTTCATCCGAGATGACCCATGTTCGAACTCATGCGAGCAATTACCTAAATACGCATCCTGACAAAGTTTGATGATGATTCAGGCAAAAATGTAATCGCTAGAGTGTTAACGAACAAATGAGGACGAAGACAGACGACGGACATTCAAACATCCTTAAAACTCACCCTGAGCAAGATCAGGTGATCTAAAAATGCCAAATAAAGAAACTAAAAATGCCACATAACATGTAAACACAACAAAAATGTCGTGACAAGGATCGAAAGTATGTGATTCAATTTACAGGGATACTTTTTACAGCCACCACACGGCACTGATAAGAAAATAGAGTAAAACAGATAATTAAAGAAACTGGTGTGTGGTCCCTCGGATGCATTATTCACAACAAAATTACATGAAAATTTCGAACTCAGTTTTATTGAGTCTGTACATGAACAGCAATTAAGAAGTGCAACATCCCTTTCCCCTTTAACACCAGCTTGAGCGGAGCTCAATTGTCCGAACTAAAAGATCCCAACTCGGTAAAATTGAAAAATGCTTAGGGCTTAGTTTGAAAGAGCAAGTTACAATCCTCGCTCCCAAGCACCGGCTTAAGCAGTATTCAACATTTAACTAAGAAGAATTGAGAGCTGAGGTATTTACAAATTTGAAACCTATGTGAATACTGATGGCTGAAAATAGCAAAGAGCAATAACTGAGAAATAATGCAGGATAGGTTATCGTTCTTGTGTGTTGCACACCTCCTCAATGAGATATATCCACCTATTAAGTGTCAAGTTGATATCTTGCGCACTTTTTTAGATAAGCTCCGGACAAAAAGTATGAAAAATTAAAAAGGACAATTACTCAAAAATTATAAAGGGTAGAGATATCATTTTTGCACGCAGCATTCCTCCTCAATACGATAATTCCACCAAATTGAGTTATGTTCCGGGTGAAAAATTAAGTATGAAAAATAACAAAGGGCACTAACTAAAAATTATGAAAGGTAGAGTAATCATGATTGTACACTGCATACATATTGAGTAAGATCTATTTACCTATGAAGTTTCATGTTGATAGCTCAAAGGCTTTTGGAGTTATGCTTTGGACAATAATGATCTTTGAAAAGTAACAAAGGGCTATAACTGAAAAAAATTAATGGGTAGCTGGGTAGAGTTATCATTCTTGTGCACTGCACTCCTCCACAATATGATCTATTAATCTATAAAGATTCAAGTTGATACCTTTAAAACTTTTTGAGTAAGCTCCGGACAAAATGTATGGAAACTAACAAAGGGCAATAACTCAAAAATTATGAAGAGTAAAGTTATCATTCATGTGCACTGCACAACCCCTGTGTGAGATCTATCCACCTATGAACTATGATAAACAAGATTAACAAGGAAATGCGGCGTTGAATGAACGCAGCCCCCACACGACCAAGCAACAAGAACCAGTGGCAAGGAGCCCAGGCGGATCCCAAACAAAAACCGGACAGGGGACAAGGCAGGGCACGGACAGGCTAATATGATGTTTCATGTTGATATCTTAAAGGCTTTTGAGTTATGCTCTGGACAAAAAATAAGTTTGAAAAATAACAAAGGACAATAACTGAAAAATTATGCAGGATAGAGTTATCATTCTTGTGCACTGCACTCCCCCTTAATATGATCTATCCACCTATGAAGTTTCAAGTTGATGACTCAAATACCTTTTGAGATATGCTCCGGACATAAATGTTGGACGGAAGGACGGACGGACGGAGATTATTTCTAAGGGTGACGTTCAATGTACGCAACCATGTATGATTACTGTGCTGGATGTAGAATAGCTTTCATTAGGGATTCTTATTTCTCTCTTTTTTATTAAATATCTCGAAATAAAAATCTGTTTTCTCGGAGGAATAAAAATCTGGAAACAGAATGATCCCTCGGAAGCATAAATCGCAGCAAAATTACATAAAAGTTGCAGACTCTGTTTAACTGAGTCTGTACATGAGAGATAATGAATAAGTGCAACATCCCTCACGCCCCCTAGTACCGGCTTAAGCAGTACTCAATTCTTAACATTTAATAGTGCTGACAAATGGTCAAATGTATTAAAAATTGCAGACTCTGTTTGATTGAGTCTGTACATATAATTTAGTAAATCAGAATCCCGTAAAAAAGCCAAAGATGGAAAATAGCAAAATAGACACGAAAAAAGCAGTCTCTCTTTGATCGAGTCTGTACATAAGGGATGATGCCCTTTAGCACCAGTTTCTCAACACTGAAAAGCGCTTGACTCAATGATCCCGAAGGACCAGAAAAAAATATATATAAAAGAGAAAATAAGAATCCCCGAAGAAAGCCCAAAACGGCAAAATTGAAATGATGCAGGCTCGGTTTAATGTAGCCTGTTCATGGACGGTTGTCAAGTGCAAACTATCATCCACACAATCTAACACCGGGGTAGCAGAATTCAACATTTAAACATGAAATTGTAAAATTTTGATTTTAGAAACATCCGCAGATATTCATAAGGCGGTTATCATGAAACCTTCAATGTGACATTTCCGTGCCATTCCATGAAAAGCGGCGTATAGCCCCAACACAACACTGAAGTCGATGACTTCTAATCCAGTTACTTCTTTGGCATGGGTTCGATCCCCGGGAGATGCTTTGGTAGTTTAGCGCGGAGGAAGGTAGTCTAGTACTAGTGTAACACTCCAAGAACGATGGTTAGGAAACTTCCCGCCCTTATGACTGAAATACTGTTGGGGAAAAGGCGTAAAATGAAACAAAACAAACTGAAGTTAAGTATGGGACAATTTTTACGGTCTGACACGGCATGGCATTTGACACCTGCTGTTCTGAAGTATAAATATCCGGAAAAGGTGATCTCAGGAAGAATTAATATCCGCAAAATTATATAAAAATTGTAGA